ACCTTGATTGCAGGACCGTGATGTTTGGTGTGACTTACGTGCAAATACCTTTGGGAAAGGCATGAATCCATCTCTTCTCCATCCAGGTATTGATTAATTAGTAAGACTTATAGTACTAAATCTACCCCCCATGACCCCCCAAAAAAAAAACAATTAAATCAAATTATTTTCTGGTTGTAAATAACCTGCAATGGGTTGATAAGCAGTCATGAAATTATCTGTCAATATTAATATTACTAGCAGCATGGCCTGGTGTTGCCCGTGCTTGATTCAAAAATCGTACTACTCATACAGCAATCGCTATCACTTGACTTAAAATATTTTTGCCCTTCCTTGCCTTTAAAGGAGTGCCCTTTGCCGTGCTGATGTTGCTACATGCCTTACTTCTTGCCTATCTCACACTGCGAATTTTTCAAAGCTCTATACTAAACATTAAATTTACATAAAAAAGAACTAAACAAAATGAACACAAAACGATCAGCTTTAAAAAAAGGACTTGTAACTGGAAAAACCGAATAAAAAAAGAATGTTAACAACAAATACTTTTTCACACCCAACCCAGTTCTGCGGAATCAGGTAATTTAACTGTATTGTCAACATGGGAAAAAATAATCTTAGTATAAAGAGAATATATATGTTGGTGTCTGGACGGCAGAAGATACGATCAAAAGCAAAATGGTGGCACCCAAAAAAAATAAATAAAATAAAAGTAATCACCCTCAGCGTCTTTAGTTATTTATTTCCAGTCAATGGCAATTTCCTATCCCTCCCACAAATGGTCCAGCACAGCCAGGAAACAATGCTAGCAGTGAAAATTTTAACAACCTTGTCAAATGTGTGACATCATAAATTTAGAGGATAATCTATAACAAGGGCGGGCAACTCATTCGACCCCACGAGCCGGATCATGACGGGTCGCGGGCCGGATGAAAGTGGATCAGAGGAAGATAACAGCAGGCCTTTTGTCGAATTCGAAAGCCTTGTCTCTCATGTTAAAAATAGAGTCATTGGGAATCAGGCTCACAGGCAGGTCAAAATGCCCGCGGGCCGTAGGTTGCCGACCCTTGATCTATAATCATGAAAGTGATTCTCCATTTTCTGAACAATTTAGATTCTAGACGTCTCTAGCAAGCAAATAAGTCCTGAAACACAATCCGGTCACCTATAAATATTTAAATAAACAATGAAATCATGCATACAAAGTGATGAATTAATTTCTTGTTAAATATTTCTGTATATTTCTTTAGAAACGAGATTTCCCTCCACCTGATTCAAATTAGATATCTGACTATAGCTTAAGAAAAAATATCCAAGTTGTTCCTACCCCTGGAAGTTACATCAATTTTTGGAGCATGAAAAAGTTCCAATCATGTTTTTGGGAAAATTAGAAAATTTGTGTGTGTGTTTCATTTTCTACAGCTTATCAACTCTTTGTAGATTATTTAAAGCCAGAAAATATTTTTTTTTAGAGATAATAATGGTTTTAGTGATACAAGTCTTTAGCCCAAATCTGAGCCATTATTCATTACACCACCTGTACATCCAAGCTTACATCTGATATGCCCAAGCAGTCACCCATCTTGATACTGACCAAGATCAATGTTGCCTAACTTCAGTGATTATTCAGGGACCAGTGTTTCAACGTGATGTGGCTGTAACCTGTGTGTGCGTATGTGTGTGTGTGTGCGTGTTTTGGAAATGCTGGAAACTTTTAGGCTCATTTTACAAAAAAAAAAACCTCACTTTAGACCAATTCCTGGGATGAGGAGATATTATCATCTTCATTGCTATTATCACATCAGTACATCCATTGTCTCCATAACATGCTTGTCAATCTAGGTAACCTGCCTGTAATTTTAAACTTAAACTCTTATTTAATCTAAAGGTATAGAGTTTTCTTGTTACCCTGTCTAGCAATGTCTCTAGTTTTTATTTAGTACTGTTCAGTTATTGCTTGCCCTGTTTCCATCGAGTTGAAGTACACACTGCCCAGCCCAGGTATTAAACTTAAAATTATTAGCAAACTAACAAACTAAAGTCTTAATCCACTTGGCTTAAGACTAATTTTTCATTTTTCTTTTATAAAATTCCTCTCCATTCTATCAAATTAAGTAAATGTCTTATTAAATTCATTTCAGCTTGTTTCCTCATTCTGTCATTATAGGAAAAAAAAAATATTTGGGCACTATTTAAACAGACTGGTCCACTTATTAAAAAATAAAAAGGGAGGGGGGAGATTTCTTTTTGTAGGTTAGCATTCATTAGACCATCTTTCAGCTGCAACATTTGTCAGCATCAAGAAATATTGATTTGTTAATTTAGAAGCAAGGGAGGTTCTTGTCCATGATATGGATAGTATAAAATCAATATCTGACTTTTCAGAGTTATTGAACTTAACCGTTTTGTACAGAAAAACAGACTTTTTTTTTTTTTTTAAACAAAAAGTTCTCTTAAATAAAGAATGAACGGATATATACATTTTTGATTAAAGAACAAAAATTTACAAAAATTAATGAATGCATCTGATAATTCTACATTCAAATGTTTGTGCATGTGGCTCCCCCCCCCCACAAAAAAAAAAAATTTTTCTGAATATTTTAAACAAAGAAAAATGCAGTAAGCACAGTTTTAATCTTGACATTTGCAAATAACAGATAAGTCCAATAACTGTAAAAAGTCAGGGATTGATTTTACACTATATCAATATTATGGACAAAAGTCTTACTAAACTGATAAACATTTTATTTAATATGTCAAGCCTTGAGGCAAGTCTATGATGGTTTAAAAAAAAAAAAAAAAAAAGAAAAAATGGACCAATAGTGTCAAAATTTGGGGAATTTCTGTCTCCGTTCCCTTTTCACATGGCACAAGGTCACAGGGATTTTTCAAAACAAACAGAAACAATGACTCTTTCCTTCTGAATAAAAATGTACAAAATCCCCAAGAAAATTTTCAGTGTTTGAGTGAGAAATTCTAATACAAAAATGTGAAAGAATCAGAGCTTCAAAACAATTCCGCTTGATGGCATTGAACGAATTGAAATGGGGGAGGGGGAAAAAAAGCAGACAAAAGCAAAAGAAATTCTTCTAAAAATGTTTCTTTATTTTTCTTCATTTTGGGCGCCTCTTGAAATGAATTGTTGAGTTCAGCAATCAAGATGAAGTGGGACTTTTTTGCTTTTATTTTTTTTTTTTTTTATCTCGCTCTAAACCAGGTGTGGTCAATAGTAGACAGGGATTGGCACCAGGGGTTAGAGAACAAGAACTGTTAGAGCAAAGGCTCTTGGGTTTAGCTGGGGTTGGGGGTTTTTAAACCACCTTTCAAGGGTGGAACAAAGCAGGGGAAAAAAGAAGAGCCAGAGACTGAAGCAAAGAAGGAAGCCAACTTTCTTGGCATCAACAGAATCAGGTTAAGCAACAAAGTTAACAGATCAAGAATCCCCCCTCGCTCGCTCCCTCCCTCCCTCCCAGGGAGGGGGAGCAACCACGGTAACAAAGATTTGGCTGTAGTTCAACATGAAAAACAATACCATTTCCTAGTCTGCCTTCTGGAAATCGGTACCCCTTTTATTCTTCCCCCCCCCACACACCTTTTGGGAAACAAACAAAATCTTAAACATGCATTCATTTTTAGCTTTGATTTTATTTTGGGACTCAGACGTGTGTGTGTGTGTGTGGATGGAAAGAAAGAGAGAGATGGAGAGAGATACACACAATGGTAGCCAATTCAATACTTGGAAAAATCTACAATCTTCCAGGAGAAATATATCAAGACTTCAAGACTGACTGCTTGAAGAAAAGGGTCTCCTGCTTTGCTTTTGGTTTGAAATTTGATTTTTCCATCTCTTTTAAAAGTTTGTAATCAGAAGTCTCACCTTCCTGCCATTTGATATGGGATCTCATCTACCAGTGACTAATAAGCTTAATCCAGATTAGCATGCACTTGTAGCATAAATTGAGAACTCTATAAAAATGGCCGTGTGCCAAACTTAGCGCAACAGTGTAACACTTTGCAATTATTGTTTAAAGAAATCAGAAGAAAAAGAATCAAATTAAAGGCCAAAAAAATAAAGAGAGAAAGAAATCAACCAACTGTTGGGAACAATTATAAATGAAACGCACTGGGCTTTCATGTTGCATAACGGTTTTCAAATTCTCATTTCACAGCCGGGTGGGGGGAGATCCTTTGTTTGCTTTCAAACATCCTTTCTGAAAATGTTTAGTTTATTATTTTGGATAAACTTTGCTTACAAAACAAATCCAAACTGGGTGCAAATCTTCTAAGCAGAGAAAGCATGTATACCTTGAAAATCAGCATTCAAATCCCTGTTTTTACCTTGGCTTGAACAATAACTTATAACTGTCACTCATTTCAACAGTAAAATAAACCTCTTATTTACTTAGTTTTAGTCTGGCACAAGGAGAACCCAGCCAAAATTGAACACACTACAGAGAGTAAGCAATTTGGACTAACATAATGAAATATTGACTGTGTGTGAACATTTATCATGTTATACTTTGACAATTGATGGATTTGTTTTTTATGGCTTATCAACCTTTTGTCGGTTATTTAAAGCCAAAGCATATTTTGAATTGTAAGAATAATTTATTTCTTGCAAGTGAATATTGCATTAAAAATTTTTTGAAAATAAAATTATTTTTTCCAGATACAAGTCCTACTATTTAACCTGTTTGTGGGCAGGTGGGGGAGGTTATTTGCACATAAGTGAATAGCATGAAAAGCCGACTGGAATTTGAACTTGGCCCTCCAATTTCTAATTCTGAGCCGCTACCCATCACACCGTTGACACATCCTATCCTTTTAGGAAATAAAACATTTTAAGTAATATATCAAAGTGAATTTTTTTTTTTATCTCAACAAGAGATGGAAATAAAAGGTAGCAAACTCTCATCCTATATAAGCATAAAAAAATATTTATGCCTAAAAAGGGTTCTCAACGCCACCCCTTTTTGCTTTGGTAATTTTAATGTATTCTTGGATTAAAGAAAAAAAGGGAAAGGAAAAAAAAAAGAAAAAGAGGGGGAAAAAAAGGGAAAGGAAAAAAAAGAAAAAGAGAGAAAAAGGAGAAAAAAGAAAAAGAGAGAAAAAGGAGAAAAAAGAAAAAGAGAGAAAAAGGAGAAAAAAGAAAAAGAGAGAAAAAGGAGAAAAAAGAAAAAGAGAGAAAAAGGAGAAAAAAGAAAAAGATATTTTATTGCTAAATGCATTCCAATGAATAAATATATCAGTAAGTATTAGTGCCATACAATGTCCTTGATGACATCTCCAGAAGAAAGGGAGTTACTAGCAAATGCCCAGTCCCTTTCCATGTAACACAAGGGGTGCTACTAGATTGAGTGATGACAAATTTTAAACCTCTCTTCTCCATCAATGACATGCCAGTGATAAGTCCTTTGTTAAGATATCTGGCAACAGGTCAAAGGGAAAGATTGAATTCATGCCTTTCCAAAGGGCAAGACTGCAAAAGGAATGTACAGTGCCTCACCAATTCAGTTTTCCTCTCCTAGAACCTTGATGTCCCAAACACACACATCTCACCACACATTTACACCACCCTCCCAGTCACATAGGGGAAAATAAAAAAATCATGGAATTTGGACGGTGGACTTCTCAGAGGAAAAGCAAAATATCTGTTCAATAGTCTGAGAAAAAAAACAAAAAAACTACAACACTGAAACAATATGCAGCAGAATTTCTAAAGGAAGTTTGGGCTTTTAAAAGCAAATGTTAAAAATTTGAAAAGACTAAAATGAAAACAGACATTTTTTTATGAAAATCTTTTCTTTACCAAAATTAGGAACATTTTAGTGGGAAGAAGTTTTTTTTTTTTAACATTTTAAGTAAATTGCAGATAAAAATATGATTGATATTTGTTGTTTTCTTCCAGAAACTGTCAAAACAATCCTGAATGAACCCCTATACCTACCTCCCCACCTGCTTGACTGCAATGAGGAAAGTCCATCTTTGGATATGAGCAACAGAAAACACAGGGTCTCAAAAACTGATTCAAGGAAGAATTTCTTATTTGTGAACCTCTTCCAACAGCAACAAACCATAGAAACTAAATTTGCCTTTGGTCTTTAGTCCTCAAATAAATAGTTTCTCTTGTTGAATCCATTTCTGTGGAATTAGGTGGAAAATAAAAGCTAATGACTGAGGTTGAAATTTTGAGATGAGGAGGAAAAAAAATAACAATGGTCACTTGATAAAGACACTGAAGTTGATTCAACCCACAAGGAGATAGATGCTCCCAAAAACCCTAACACAAAAGAAAAAAAAAAATATCTATTACTCTAAACATTATTTCAGTGCAATTATTTTAGAGTAATAAGGTTAGATTAAAAATAAAATTCACTGTATATATATATATATATATATATATATAAAGGATTTGTGCCAGTATCTGCTGACTTGCGTACACACAGACACATACTAAAACAAAGTAATATAGTTTTACTTTGGAGTTAAGAGACAACCTAATTTTTCTTTTTCATAATCTTTGTTTCTTTTGCTTAATTCATTATGTCTTGTGTTTGATCGATTAAAAAAAGAAGCCAAGCCAAGACTAGGAAGGAACCTTGCTGCACACAAAGATGAAGCTGAAAACTTAAAACAAAATGGTTTTGTGGGTAATCACAAAAAAAAAAAAAAGAATGATGGTAGGAGAAGTACAAACAAGTCTGAAAGACAACTGTATAGAATTCTATGGAGCGCGGGTGAGCGGCTATCAGTTAGGGTCAAGATGGTGGCAACATTTACGACAGATTGCAGACAATCTAGAAAATAAAACACAAACAATGGATAGATGGAATATTAGGAGAAGAAAAAAAAAAAAAAAAAGAGAAAAAAAGAAAAAAGTCATAACTCCTTTCCGAATATTTCATTTCGGTTGAACAAAGAGCCCAATTTACAGGTAATAGAAAAGGTGTCTGTTAGCAGCAGCAAGAGCAACATCAATTCCATCGGATGAAAGGGGATGGAAGCTGACCCTCCTCCTGCTCCCCTCCAATCCCAACTCTCCACTCGAGTGGGAAGCCACTGGCAGAGGAGAGAAAGAGGATGAGGAGGAGGAGAAGGAGGTGGATGCTGGTGATGGTGGAATAGTCATTGGGAAGGGCTGATCAATGTTCTTGGTCGTCCAGGTGAATACAACGCAACCCCCACCCACCCACTTCGGCATTTTCCCCCTCTGCTTCCCCCCCCGACCCTGGTAGCAGGCAGAGGGCCAAAGCCCCACTGACGGAGAGCCAAACAGGCCACATTTAGCCACATTGGCCTCCCTTGTTGACCTAGCAACAGTTTTAGTCTGTCATCCATTCCCTGCACGATATACTTCAGAACTTCACTGAACCCGATGGTAAGCTGCTGTTGATGAGACGATAGTAGCGAAGATCATTGACAAATCGATGGACACTCTGTGTGAATGATGGCATGTCCTGCAAGAAAAGACGACAAAATATCAGTGGTCAGCATTTATGTTCG